CATTGAGCTTGAGTTTCTTCTCTTGCTCATGTGGTTTCCAAATGCTAAAACTGCCATATCTATTTTAAATGCTTTGCATTTATTCCCTCGCACTATTCAGCCCCCCTACAATCACACGCTTAGATGGATTAGCATTTAACTTATGTCAGAGTAGGAGCATGTGAGAGATGAAAAAAGGCGCACTTAATTGGAATTTCACAGTGATTTCCACATAGATCAGCTTAAACAAGGTGTATTTCTGTATAGCAATCAGGAATTGACTAATCTCCTGTGTAAATATGTGTCAAAGACATGATTTAAATCTTGGAGGAAGTCTGCATGATAGAACTTTAAACCTGCTCATGTCCCCAAGTGTGAGAACAGCACTTTAGCCAAAGCTCGATAGGTTTTGATTACATTTTTATAATTACAGATTTTGGTACTGACATTTTGATTACAGCTTTCATTTAGGGCAATGTATAGCAATATAACAAGATGGTTCAATTAACACTTATTCTGGTTAGATTTAGCATTAAAATAATCTCTAAGCTACATTTATTAGAAATGGGTTTAGTTAAACACTGTCTCAAGTAAACCATCTTTTAAAAAATCTTTTATTTTCCATTTTTAGGAACATGGACTGAGAAGCATTTGAGGGTAGAATAGGAAATTTACAATTTATATGTATCTGGCATTGTTAATGCTAGTACTAATGTTATTTTTGATGTTCTATGTTGAACAAAACCAACTGAACAAAGAAATTTTATTTGTTTAAAGCTGTACTGGTAAATATCATGCACGTAAATGCTATGCTTTTTTCCTTTTTTTTTAGGAAAATAGAGGGAAGAGAGAGGGAAGAGAGGAAAGAATTTTATTTTCAATAGAACGTTTTTTGTTGGGGGAAAAAGTTAAATATTTGAGAATAAACACAATGTACAACTTTTAGAAATATATTTCTATTTTGGAATACTTCATGTATCTACAATGATAATACAAATGTAGATATGCCTAAATAATATGTAATTTAATATGTGAAACTCAAGTAACATGATTTACCATGTTTAAGATTTTATAGTCAGTATTAGAAAATTAATGACAACAATAAAACTAAAAATATTTTTTAGCCAGTCAGGTGCCAGTAGCTCACACCTGTAATCCTAGTTATTAAGAAGCTGAGAGCTGAGTATTTCAGTTCCAAGCCATCCAGGACATGAAAGTCTGTGAGGCTCTTATCTTCAATTAACTACCAAAAAGTTGGAAGTTGAGCTGTGGCTTAAATGGTAGAGTGGTAGCTTTGAGCAAAAATAAATAAATCAAATTTTAAAAAGGCCCAGGCCCTGAGTTGAAGCCCTAGGACCAACACTCACACAAAAAATATTATTGAACTTTTGAACATCGAAATAGTCCTTTATTTCATTCTTTTGCCTAATTGCCATATTTTCAAAACAGCATTAAAGCCAAGCAGCATTCATTCTTTGAAAATCCAGATACTAAAAGAGCAAAAACATTAATATTGATGTTAATTATAAATTAATGCTAATGATGTATTAATTAACTTTCCATTGTATTATAGGAAGAAACTGCATTTGGGATTAGTTTGCAATTTTAAGAGCTTTAGGACCCTGTTAATATTATAAATATTTTAAAGGAAAACATACTTATTTTGATACATCCTTTAAAGAAATGGATGAGAATATGTTTACTCTTGATTAATGTACAAATCTGAAATTACTGCAATATTACTTCTCAGAAAGGCAATATAGTCACATAAAAATAGCATTTCTTGCTGGCTCATGCCTATAATCCTAGCTACTCCTGAGGCTGGGATCTGAGGATCACAGTTTGAAGCCAGCCTGAGTAGGAAAGTCCATGAGTCTCTTATCTCCAAGTAAGCACCAACAAAACAAAACAAAACAAACCAGAAGTGGGGCTGTGGCTAAAGTGGTGCAGTGCTAGCCTTGAGCAAAAAAAGCTCAGGATAGCACCTAGGCCCTGAGTTCAAGCCCCAGGGCCTACACACAAAAAGGAAAAAAAAAAGGCATTTCTTTATGTAGTGAAGAAAAGAAAGTAAGTTGCCACTTGTTTGAAGGAAAATATTTATTTTAAAATCATGGGTTTACATTTCCAGGTCATTACTTATAGAAGACACCGTATCTTCTAGGTGCTGAGAAGGAGAAAAGGGGTAAATTTTTTGTTCTTATTTGTTTTTTAAGAAGACTAGGGTGGTCTCTCATTTCTTAGTTTTGAATATTATATGTAGGTTCAAGTGTTCACTGTCCTGCAAGCTACTTACTGTATGTGCCGTCATGCTGAAGGCAGGGACCTGCTTCCAGGAAATCTTGGCTTGCACATATTATATTGTGTTAAATGACATGGCATATTGCAGATGCTTCATTGACACCTGCCATGTAATAAGTTCTCAGTAAAGGGAATTTTCTTTTATGTTATCTTTACAGTCTTTAAGTAGTTGTACAAAGGGGTTTTGATTCAGCGTGTCAGCTTGTGAGTACCGTGCATCTTGATCCATGTCACCAATGGGAAGTTGTTTAGAACTCACATTCTCTGATACCCCTTACTGCAGTGTTTTCATCTACTAAGGAATGACGTTCAAAATTTCTCTTACAGAGTTCAGTTCAAAGGAAGGGATATATCTTTTCAATGATGCCATTATTTTCAATGTAATAGATCGAATTAGGATAATGAGGATAGTTATAAGATGTTTTGGCTACCAAAATAGTCTTCTTCATTTTATTCATACCATTGATAAAAGAATCATAGTAACTGTTCCGTGTGTATCTTAATCAAAGGAGCAGAACAGAATCACATAGCAATTCACTATATGGTCCTGGGATGGGATACATTCACTCCATGACATCATTTGGTACAGGATAGGACAGTTAAGGTGCTCATTTGCTTTTTGTGGGCTGCCCACTGCTGTCTAGCTGTATTGATATATTTTTTTAAATTTCATTCTGGTCTTGGGGACTGTCTCTGAATTTTTGTGCTCAAGGTTAGCACCCTGCCACTTGAGCTACAGTGCCACTTCCAGTTTTCTGGTGGTTAATTGGAGATAAGAGTCTCAGGGACTTTCCTGCCCAGTCTGGCTTTGAACTTTGTTCTTCAGATCTTAACCTCCTGATTGGCTAGGATTCCAGGTGTGAGCCCCTGGTGCCTGGTGATATTGGTCATTTTGAATCACCCTGGAATAAATAATAAATACCAAATTGGCACCAGGCAGAAAAAAGACTCACCCCTTTGAGTACTTACAAATGCTTTCAGATGGATGAGATTTCTCTTGAGATAAACATGTAATTATTCTCTGGGCTGGGAAGGTGGCTCAGTGGTAGAGCACTTGCCTTGCATGCATGAGGCCCTGAGTTCAATTCCTCAGCACCACATAAGCAGGAAAAAAAAAGCCAGAAGTGGCAATGTGGCTCAGCGGTAGAGCACTAGCCTTGAGCTGAAGAGCTGAGGGACAGCGCCCAGGCCAGAGTTCAGGCCCCACGACCAGACCCCCAAAACATGTAATTTTTCTCAATTACCTTAAAGCATGTAAATGTTGTCAGAAACACCACTTTTTGTTATGGAATTGTTCAGCAAATTAGCGATTACCAGCTTGGGAATTGGCTAATACTTTCCAAGAGCTCAATAAGTATACAGAACTGGTAAATAACCATATTGGGCAGGGCAAATAGTGATGCTTCTGACAACCAAGACACTCTCCTAGATGGTTTTGCTCTGTGATATCGTGTGTTTGAAGGAACTGAGGCATGGCTCAAATGATAGAACTCGGCCTTTTTTTTTTTTTAGTCATGGTGCCTGTACTCTGGGCTTGTGCACTGTCTCTGAGCTCTTCAGCTCAAGGCTAGTGCTCTACCACTTGAGCCCTAGCGCACTTCCAGCTTTTTCTGCTTTATGTGGTGCTAGAATTGAACCCAGGGCCTCATGCATACAAGGCAAGCACTCTACCACTGAGCCACCTTCCCAGCTCTGATATGGTGTCTTAAATCAAACAAGATTAGATATTGACTATTTGCAATGAAGACCAGATAGTGAAGGAACTAGTAAGCTTGATGTTTGATCATTTATGTCTTTGTACATTTCCAAATCCTGATAAAATGATTTGGCAAGCACTTGGACAGATGAAGCCAACTTAAAAAAAATGACTTTAAAACTGGCTTAGAGGCTGGATGCCAGTGGCTCACACCTGTAATACTAGCTACTCAGGAGGCTGAGATCTGAGGATCATGGTTCAAAGCCAGCCTGGGCAGGAAAGTATGTGAGGCTCTTATCTCCAATACCACTCGGAAAACTGGAAATGGCACTGTGGCTTAAGTGGTAGAGCACTAGCCTTGAGCTGAAGAGCTGAGGGACAGTGCCCAGGCCCAGAGTTCAAGCTCCACGACTGAAAAAAAAAATGGCTTAGAGACTGGACACTGGGGACTTGTGTCTGTAATCTTAGTGACTGAAGAAGCTGGGATCTGAGGATCATGGTTCAAAGCCAGCTCAGGCAGAAAATTCTTAGAGACTCTTATCTCCAGTTAACCAGCAAAAAACCAGAAGTGGAAGTGTGGCTCAGAGGGTAGAACACCAGCCTAGAGTAGAAAAAGCCACATGAGGGGCTGGGAAGGTGGCTCAGTGGTAGAGCACTTGCCTTTGCATGCTCGAGGCCCTGGGTTTGATTCCTCAGCACCACATAAGCAAAAAGAAAAATGCCGGAAGTGGCACTGTGGCTCAAGTGGTAGAGTGCTAGCCTTGAGCTGAAGAGCTGAGGGACAGTACCCAGGCCCAGAGTTCAGGCCCCTTGACCGGACCCCCCCCCCAAAAAAAAAAAGAAAAAGAAAAAGAAAAAGCCACATGAGACTATGAGGCTGTGAGTTCAAGCCTCAATACTGGCACAAGAAAAAAAAAAAAGACTTGGAAAGCAAACTGCCTTGACAAGGGGATTTATGAGTAACTGGAGTTTTGGAGATTGTCTAAAAGAAATGGCTAATCATTGAGACCAATGCTTTTCTTCACAGCACCTTCCAAACCTTTTCTTCTGAGCATCCCTCCATTCTACTCGGCGTGCTGTGGGGGGTCCTGCCGGAGTCCTGCATCCCCCACCGCTTTTCCAAGTAAGTTGTGAATGCTTCATCAGCAATGCCTCAGTTCCTCTATAAACCAAAGCAGCAGGATTTAATGTGCTCAGGGAAGCTAATTGGTAATGCAGTGGCAAGGAGCTAATTCCTCACTGAAAAATCACAGTGACCCTATTCAGGAGCTTTCCAGAGATTTATCAAACCTCAGCACAGTGAGCAATTGTGAGTGGTTTCTAATGGCATTGAAACTCCCAGCTGACACACCAAGGAAAAGGACTTGTTTTCTAGTTGATATAAAAGATCTAGTGGGATAGGCTTAGCTCTTTCTGAAACGTGTATAGCAACACACTTTTATTTTGTCATGGTACTGGGGGATCAAACCTTGCCTGGGCCTTGTCCAGGCAAGGCAGCCACTCCACCAGGAAGCTATATCTCGGGTGCATTGCAAGACTCCTTTAAAGAAGAACAAAGGCAGGAAAGAATGCAAAGAAGTTGCAGTGAGCCAACATTTCATTCAGTTTAAAATGGGGTACAGAAAGTCACTAGGTACTTACTGTAGAGAAGAATTAAAATCCATCAGGATCTGAAGAGGAAAAAAAGACTTCTCTTTCTCAGAAAGCCCACCTGAGTTGTAACAAATGTTTTCATGAGAACTTTTCTGTAAACATGATAAAAATGAATCCCTGGGGTGAAATTAGAAGGACAGACTTGCCAAAACTCATAGTATGGGTGCAAATGCTTTCTCATGCAAAGATGAGTATCTTTAGCTGGGCTCTGGTATCTTGTGCCTGTAATTCTAGCTACTCAGAAGACTGAGATCTGAAGATTATGGTCCAAAGCCAGCCCAGGCAGGAAAATCCATGAAACTTTATTTCCAATTAACTAGGCTAGAGGTATGGCTTAGAGGTAGACTGCCTTTCTAAGAAGCATAAAGCCCCTAGTCCAATTAACCAGTAAAAATGCTGGAAGTGGAGGTAGGATCAAATGGTAGAGTGCCAGCCTTGGGCAAAAAAGCTAAGTGAGGGGCTAGGAAGGTGGTTCAGTGGTAGAGCGCTTGCCTTGCCTGCATGAGGCCCTGGGTTTGATTCCTCAGCACCCCATAAGCAGAAAAAGCCAAACGTGGTACTGTGGCTTAAGTGGTAGCGCGCTAGCCTTGAGTTGAAGAGCTGAGGGACAGCGGCCAGGCCCCAGGACTGGGAAAAAAACAAAAACAACAACAAAAAACCCTAAGTGATAGCAGGAGGCCCTGAGTTCAAGCCCCAATACTGGCATACACATACACACAAGGTAAATATCTCTAACCAAATTGTTGGTCCTGAGATGTGTAGGTCTGATGAGAATCTGTAGCCAGATTATCTGGGTTGATGTTAAAGAAGTCCTGTAGAGAGCCAGCCGGATACTGGTGGCTCATGCCTATAATCCTAGCTACTTAGGAGGCTGTGATCTGAGGATTAAGGTTCAAAGCCAGCCCAGGCAGGAAGGTCTATGAGACTATTATTTTCCATTAACCTCCAACAAGCCAGAAATGGGAGTATGGCTCAAATGGTAGAGTGTTTGCCTTAAGCACAAAAACAACAATAACAACAACAAGCAAAGGAACAGTGCCCAGGCCCCGAGTTCAAGCCCCAGTATACTGGCACATTAAAAAAAAAAAAGTCCTGTGGAGGGTTGTGTTATTTCAGCTACCCAAGAGAAAGCTTAGATTTCCAGCTCTTGTCAGCTAAGAAGGAAAGAGAGTGGAGGCAGGCTGAAGTCTAGAGCTCTGTCCTGCCAGGCGTCTGTTTTTATCGGTGTTTCAGAAGACCAAGTTGCTGGCCAGAATGATTCTTGACAAGCGAGGCAGCAAATGCTGGCTGTTCATTGAGCTGCCAGCTTCTGAGCTTCCCTTTAGGGGGCTGATACTTTCCCACAGAGCACTATAGAGGACTGAGACGCAGCCACAATGGATGACAGACCCGTGACCAATCACCACTTTCACTCGACTCATCCACACGCGACCTCACCACGATTTTTCACTCTGCAGATGAACTTTAGGGCCTATTTCACATGGAAAAAGCTTGGGCAAGGGTCAGCTGCCCTTTTGTATGGTCATAAAGCAGGGCTCTGGGTGTAGGTCTTTCTCCTGTCTCACACTCCCAAGTGAATTTCTTGACACCCTTTAAAGCACTTGACTGAAAAATAAGGCAGTGAATGAAACTGACTTTTATAGACTCATTCTAGCTCATCTTCCCATATAACCCTGTCCACCTGAAAAGGGATTTCGTGGCTGAGCTGAGTGTCTACAGAGACGTGCTGAATACATAGGCCCATTATCAACTGTGAGGATGGTTTATTAACCAAGACTGATACACTACTATTTTGGAAGTGACCTATTAATTGTCCATTTAACTAGAAGGTATTGAATTCAAATAGAAAAAATTGAAACCATGACTAAACCTTTTACTCGCGCCTTCCAGGTGGTCTGCTGTGAGGGGAATTGGAAACTGTGATCCAAATTAAGCAGACATTTATCACTAGATATTAGATCAGCAGGCAGGGACCTCAGGGGTAGACGCGAAACCCGCGTATCTGATGTCGTATTATCATGGCATCGTGTAGATTTAAATTGTCTCTGGGAAAGGAGATGAAAAGAGATTCTACACTGAAGAATCATTTTTTCAACCTCCATATTACACTGGTCTTTTATAGTTTTTATTATCTTTATTTGTACAAATAGTTAAATAGTACAAATACAATTCAATAAATTGTACTATAGATTTTGATCATTGTCATCCCTTCCATTGTTCTGATCATTTATTTTTAAAAAGCCTTTAGGGATACAGTTCAGGGAACTGAAAATAGGCAAAATAAGTTCATGCAACAAGTAGATGTTCAAGGAGGTCTGTGTAAGTGTGTGTATGGTTGTTTTATAGTGAAGTTTTAAGAATCTCTATAAAAGTTAAATAAGCAGGAGAAATAAAGTTGGGTCAGTTTAATAAAGATAAAAACAGACATTTCTTACAGGACTTCTCATCTGTTTGAGAGAGAGTGAGATGGGGTGAAATTGATTGGAATACATTGTAAATGTATGGGAAATCATAATGAAATCTCTCTTGCATAACATTATAAGCAGATAGATAGATGATTGATAGGTAATTGATAAATGGTAGATGATGGATAGATAGATGGTAGATAGGTAGATAGATACAGATTGATAGACAAAAATAGACACATGGAAAGATAGAATGTTAGTTGATTTCTCCTTTCTATATGGTAGACAGGCTATGAATTCTTTTTTCATATTTTTTGCTATTACATCTATCCAAAACAAATTAGTAAATTCCAGTTGTTGATACACACACACACACACACACACACACACACACAAGATTACTTCAAACAGGTCTCACTTCTTTTTCCTGTATTTTTGTAGTCCTTCCTGTTTTGCGCCTTTTATATAACTTGTAAATTATTGTGCTTGTCCGAAGAGGCTTAAAACTCTGTGTTTATCTTTCATTTTTTTTCAATAAACATACAAGCTGCAGAACAGTGCAGTTCAGACCAAGGATAGAAAATATGAAATTGGTTGGCCTCCCTTCCTAAAGTTGGCCTTTTAAGACAGTTTAGAGATCACACAAGTGTTTTTAATAAGTGACGATGTCTTGTATTATTAGTTATAGCTCTGAAATGAATTTCTTACTTTCTTGTGTTCAGTGTTTGTTCTTATTGGCAGCAAGTAATAATGAACCGATGGAATTACGTTGTCAATAAAGATTTTATATAAATAACCAGGATACCAAAGCACAACTAATGAGGTTTACATCTGCATAGTCTTTTTTCCTAAAGAGGTTTACTAGACTTTTAAAAAAATACTAAGAACTTTTATATCCGAGCTTTTAAATTATTTTCCATTGTACAGCACTGTCCAAGTAAATTTGTGTTCAGTTTTGTTTGACTAGCCGGAACGAAGGTTTATCCTAACAACTCTGATAACTGCTGAAATCGATGGCCCCTCATCTGATTGCACAGTGTGGCCTTTACACCTTCCAAAAGCCAAGGATCAGATGAACACATTGGTAACCGAGCAAATGAAATATTGTTTTGACCCTGACCATGAATCATTTGTTGAATGTTGACTTCATTTTTCTTTCTTGACTTCTTACGCTTAGGATGGACTGCTAGTTGCAATGTGGAAACAATCATACAACCAGTACCCTTCTGACATGCAGTAAAGGGTTTAATAGGCTGTCCAAGCACAGGCCTTACAGTGGGGGAAATTAAAAAGGCGGTGGTAAGAGTGCTCCCCTCCCCCAAGGGGAGGGTGCATGGAAAAATCTTTAATATTACATCTATAAGATTCTTTCTCAGTTAAAATGAAAGCAAACTTGTGGAAATGATGTTGATAATGACTGCAGGAAAATAATAAATAACTACCTGAAGGAATATGAGAATCTTAATTGGGTAGGTGAAATAACAGTTAATCAGATAATGATTCTTTTCTTGAGTACCCAACTTGAACTTGACCTTTTAAGAATTTTAGGCCTTCAAAGACAGAAATTTTAATTTGGAGAAACATTATAACAAATATCTCAGGAAAAAGATATGTCTGGGACAAGCTGTTTGGCTTTTTTTTTTTTCTTGGGAGGTGCCTTTGTATTCCATCTTTATTGTCTTCCCTTCCTTGCTAAACCCTAAGAAACCATAATATACCTGCTGTTTGAATGTAGGTTTTGTTGAAGGCAGAAGAGGAGGCACATTGTGTTTGTGTGTGTGTGTGTGTGTGTGTGTGTGTGTGTGTGTGTGTGTACGCGCACGGGTGTGTGTACGCTGGTCCTGGGGCTTGAACTCAGGGCCTGGGCACTGTCCCTGAGCTTTTGAGCTCAAGGCTAGTGTTCTACCATTTGAACTACAGCATCCCTTCTGGCTTTTGGTGGTTAATTGGAGATGAGAGCCTCAGACTAACCTGCCCCAGCTGGCTTTCAAACATGATCCTCAGATCTCAGATTCTTGAATAGCTAGGATTACAGGCCTGAGCCACCAGTGCCTGGCTTTGGGAA